GCTGGACAGGGTTTGAAGCAATCTGCAATAGTGGAAGAGTATTTAGTCTTTCCTATAAATAATTTATCATAGAATACCAGCTTTGAAAGGGTCACAAGGACTATCAAAACTTTCTTGGAGCAATTACCTAGCAAAGTAAATATTATAGAAATACATATATATGTATGTGCACATATATATCTATATATATAAATATATATATTCACAGCCTTGTTACCCAGAGAAGCTGTGGCTGCCCCTGGACCCCTGGAAGAGTCCAAGGCCAGGCTGGACAGGGCTTGAAGCAATCTGCAATAGTGAAAGAGTTTTTACTCCTTTCTATAAATAATTTTTCATAGAATACCAGGTTGGAAGGGTCTTCAAGAATTATCAAAACTTTCTTGGAGCAATTATCTTCCACATTCCTGAAAAAAGTAAATATTAGAGAAATATATATATATGTGTGTGTGCATATATATAAAAATATATTTATTCACCACCTTGTTACCCAGAGAAGCTGTGCCTGACCCTGGACGAGTCCAAGGCCAGGCTGGACAGGGTTTGAAGCAAACTGCAATAGTGGAAGATGCTTCAGTCTTTCCTATAGATAATTTATCACAGAATACCAGGTTGGAAGGGATTGCAAGAATTATCAAACCTTTCTTGGAGCAATCACCTACCAAATTCCTGAAAAAGTAAATATTAGAGAAATATATATATATATATATGTATACATGTATGTGTGCATATATATATATATACATATATATACATATATATATATATATATATATATATATATATCTCAAAAAATATATATTCACAACCTTGTTACTCAGAGCAGCTGTGGCTGCCCCTGGATCCCTGGAAATCTCCAAGGCCAGGCTGGACAGGGCTTGAAGCAACCTGAGATAGTGGAAGGTGCCCCTGCCCATGGCAGAGGCTTGGAACAAGATGATCTTTAAGGTCCCTTCCAACCCAAACCATTCCATGCTAAAGCAGTATTATTTTTCCACAAATAGTCTGAAAATTTCTTGGCTCTTCAGGACATTTATATGCAAGGTAGAAGTTTTTTATTCCTGAAGCTAGAGTGGGATGTTCTCTGTTAATAATTTCATTTTGATTATTTTAATAAGCAGCCTACACTGCTGAAATGTTACTATGTTCCCTCAATATTTCATGAATTTAAAAAATTGAGGAAGTTACGACTGTAAGGAAATCATTACTAGACAATGACACACAAAACTACTAAATCTCTGACTTCTATTCTGTAGAGCATCTTTTAACAGCTGTTTTTGATTTTTAGTTAGGAAAAAAGTGCGGATTAGTTAACTAAAAAGGGAGCACTACATGAAGACAGTCTGTAAACACCTTCAGTTTGTCAAATAGTCTACTGGTTAGCAAAATATCTTTATTCTACTAGAAAAAGAATTGATTTTTAAAGACTCCTTTCTAATAAAGAAAGGTTAATTCCAAATTATGATCACTACTAAACACTTGTATACTGGTATGTATCAAACTTATTACTAAATATCAAATAGGTTTAAACCACATTGATTCTACTCTTCTCACAGTAAAACTTCATGTGAAGTTATGAGTTTTGAGTCACTTCTGGATTATATTTTGACCTGCTTTTCTCATTTTGCAGTTCAAGGTAAGAAATACAAAAGCAACAATCACCTGCTCTCACTCTCAGGCACATTTACAACCCCGTGTAATTCAGGAACCTTTTGTTGGAATCATGCAAAGAAGTCTCCTAATTGCATATGGACTAAAAATGCCCTTTAAGCTGTGCACTTGTTATTTGAGCTTTAAAAAAGAAAATAATCATGAAATAGGAATGAAAAATGTAAAAGCATGCTGATTTCTAATAATCACACCTATTTTAAAGCACATAAGATTTGTTAATGAGCCATTTTAAGTTTCATAATGTTCTGATAACTTTATGATTAGTCTATTTCTTTAATATCCAAGAGCAATCAGCAAGTACAAACCAAACAATACAAGTAATTTGAAAAATAAAAAAAAAAAAACCAAAAAAACCAACAAAGTGGATCAAAATGTTAAAAAGCCATTAAAATTTAGGAACGTGACACACGACCAACATGTGCCTTTAGCACTTAAAATTGTTTCTGTTTATTATTAATCAGAAAATGCTCAAATGGGTTTATTCAAACCTAAAGACAAACTCCACTTGAATACTTTCTTAATTTCAGCAGGACAAGGTTCTTAGAAAAGATCTTATTTCCCAATAACACTTCCAGTTCACACACAAACCCCATAACTCACTCTTATACAGAGAAAGGAACCTCTAAGAAATCTGTAACTTCACTGAATCCTCAGCAGTTAAATAGTAATAAACACAAGGAATTTATGAAAATCCATTATTTAAAAAAAGGAAAAATAGAAGAATTTTAACCAGATAACATATTGTTCCAGCTCCAGGAACTGCTGACTTGGCAGAAAAAATGCTGCATTAGCCAGAATGTGAAATAATGTCTCACATGTATCTTCTGGGGTCTGTGTTTCACAGCAGTAAGCAGAGCAGTTTTACAAGCACCTAAATTAGAAATGACTTCTCCAAGAGTTAGGCCTGTGCATATTTATGTAATGGGGCTTTTGAGCCAAAGGATAATGCTTGGGACTTTAAGAAATCAGCAGTATAAATTCATTTTCACAACCTCATATTTCACGTGGCAGTAGCAGGATTATGACTGCACCAAATGAATTATATAGGCCACTTATGGAATTAGGAAGAAAAAATATTGAAAAGAATAGCTGCTTGTTTCAGATCCCTAACCAATCCTTCCAGAAATGCCTCCCTTTCCCTCCTCTTCCTCACAGCCATAGGTGGAAGGTTCTGTACATAGAAACTTTCAGACAGATCTTACACCTCTCAGCAAGTCATGAATCACATTTTTCTCCTTAGATTTGAAGACCCTGCACTCAAGTTCTTCTGTGAGATCCAAAACCTACCTGGCATGGAAATATGGATGGGCAGATTTATTTGCATATGCAAATAGATCCTGTGGACCTGCACAGGCTGGGGGTGACCTGATGGAGCAGCTCTGGGAGAAGGACCTTGGTGTCCTCATGGACAAGAAGCTGTCCTTGAGCCAGCAGTGCATCCTGGTAGCCAAGAACACCAAAGGCATCCTGGGGTGCTTTAGGCAGGGCATTTCCAGCAGTGCAGGGAGGGGACCCTGCCCCTCTGCTCAACCTTGTGAGGCCACATTTGGAGAACCCTGAGCAGTTCTGGGCTCCTCAGGACAGGAGAGACCTGGAGCTCCTGGAGCGGGGCCAGTGGAAGCTGCAAAGGTGATGAAGGGACTGAAGCATCTCCTGACCCAGAGAAGGCTGAGGGAGCTGGGGCTGTTCAGCCTGGAGAGGAGCCACAGCTGAGAGGGGCCCTCAGCCCTGGCTGTCCCTGAGTGTCCCTGTCTGTCTCTGGGTGTTCCTGTCTGTCCCTGGCTGTCCCTGGGTGTCCCTGGCTGTCCTTGGGTGTCCCTGCCTGTCCCTGAGTGTCTCTGTGTGTCCTTGTGTGTCCCTGGGTGTCCCTGGCTGTCCCTGGGTGTCCCTGTCTGTCCCTGGCTGTCCCTGGGTGCAGGGAAGGTCAGAGCAGGGCCCAGGCTCTGCTCCAGGCCCCAGCAATGGCACCAGAGGAAGGGGCAGGGACTGAGCCCAGGGAGTTCCACCTGGACATGAGGAAGAATTTCTTCACTGAGAGCCCCCAACAGATTGTCCAGAGAGGCTGTGGAGTCTCCTCACTGGGGATATTCCAGAATTGCTTGGACACAACCCTGTGCCCTGTGCTCTGCCTGAGCAGGGAGCTGGGACCAGGTGACCTCTGTGGTCCCTTCCAGCCTGACCCATCTGGGATTCTGTGATTCTTCCATACTTTTTGAGCCTTGAAGATGAACAATCTACAGATCAAATATCTCCAGTATGCCTAAACCCTGAAACCCAACTCAACATTTTCACAAGAAGATATGTTGTACTCCATTAATAAATTTAAGAATTTCTTTACAGACTACATACAAATAGTATTTAGATTTTAAATAATAAATTGTGTAGCACAGAGGATGCATAATTAACTCAAGCCAGCTCTCCTCACTTTGAACTGTAAAACAGGAATATACTTCTGTGGTATTTGTAAATAAGGAGAAATATTTATGATGATCGAAATTTGGCTCATTAAAAATAAAGTCGCTCAGTTGTACTCAATATTTTTTTATCCATATCCCATAAAACTTTTTATTTATAATTCATTTCTAGGCTTAAATATTATTAAATATTTGTTTGTGATATCTGTTCACGACAATTCAGAATTACAGAGTAATTTAGGTTGGAATGAACTCCTGAAAGTTATACTTTAAACATTTCTTTAAAACACAGACAGCTTTAACATCAAGCCAGGTTCCTCAAGGGTTCATCCAGCCAAGATCAGAATTCCATTTTGGAGATTTTCCAAACCTCTCTGTCTCCTGTTTGAATGCCTGATCAACTTCAAGGGTGATCACC